TTTTCCGCCCGTTGCTGTGGCTGTTGTTACTGTGGCTGTTTGCAGTTGCCACATTAATGCATGGTACCTGATTACAGACCAAATGGAAACCCTTGACTTGTCTTTTTGAATTACATGTATCTCACTTAGTTATTGTAATGTGTGCGCTTTGCTTTGCATTAGTTTTTGTTTGAATGTGTGTGCGTCGCGTTTTTTTTTCACTTTTTTTAACCCTGCACCATTATTCTCTATGCCATTGGACTATGATGATTGTGCACAGGCACACACACGGTGTATTCAATGTTGTTGATTTTTTTTCTATGCGAGGCACGAGTACCTTTTTTTGGCCGCGTTATAAAAGCGTCAAACACTTTAATCGCATTGTATGGTGGTTGAGAGAACCGAGCGCGATGTGCCCATTTAGTTTGTTTACCTCTATTTTAGTGGCATAAAATGAATAGACAAAATATACTGTATGAAATAGAGAGAATGAAAGAAATATACACATTCACCTTTTGATACATTATTTTGCGCCTGATTATTTCTTTCCTCAGATGGTGAATGCTATGTGTATGTGTCATTTCTTTTCGATGGTGTGTTGCTTTTTTTATTTTATTTCATTTTTTTATACATTCTGGCCATGCTCACACATGTGCGCTGACTGAAATGTTAGGTTTCAACACTTTGTGATACGTAAATAATATGAGAATATAAAAAAAAAACAAAGGCAAATGCTAAGAAGAGGATAAAAAAGACACGGTAAAACAACAACGGCCTATGTGTAGCGCATACACTCGAGCTGCTATCTGAACTGAAGCATTGCAGAGGTGAATTTCAACAGCAGCAGCAACAACAACAACAACGAATAAAAAAAACATCTGTCGGTTTTTGGTTGCACTCGGAAGGAAATTAATTAAATGAGTAAAAATTGATCTTTTCGTTCGCTTTCTCGCTCTCAGGTTATTTAATCGAACGGTTTTAACAGAACATTATCTCCCCGGTTGCTCTCAATTTATCGTTACGTATGTGTTTTTTGTTTCCTTCGTTCGTTCATTGGTGTTGTTGTTGCCGTTTCCGATACATTTGCTCTTTTTTTTTTATCCTGAATGGTCGTCATCGGATCGGTTTTGGCGTTTGATTTTAAGGCTTTAACAAATAAATATCCGTATGCGTTTGTATGTATCTTGCATGTGCCGGACGCAGAAACATGGGCAAGAGTTACACGGAAATAGAGTATATTGATCGGTTCGTTGGTTTCCATTTGCCTAACCGTCTGTGAGTGTGTATCACTCTCTCTCTATATATCTTTCTCGATTTATTTCTTGTTTTGAGCTCATTTTTCACATTTTTTTGTTTCCCTATTCAGAGGAACGATGGTGTGCGCGAGTCTGCGGTAAAGTTGCTATGAATACCGAGTTCAACTCTAAAACGCAATGCTTGTGCTATTGTATAGACGGTGAAGAATGTGCGTAGTTTAATAATGAAACTTTCATTATGTGGCTGGACCCACGCACAGGATTAAAAAAAGAAGAATAAAAACTTGTATGGTAACGACCGAAGGAGTGCTTGGCCTTTCCATCCAAATTGTTTGGATATCATTTACATGCATACACACACACAGCCGGACCAAAAGGAAATTATAGAAGAGAAACCAGGAGAAAGAGCATGGAAAATGTAGCACGTACCAAATGAAAGAAACGAATAAAACATTATTCTTTTACTATTTTTTTTGTTACGGAAATACTGGTCAACAACCCGCGCACCACCGCGTCAATTTCATGTGTGACTGCGTGCCTTGTATATTTTTCTTTTGTTTTTTTCTTCTCCTCTTTTGGTTTTTATCGGGTGTTTTTTCGTCCGTGTTGCCGTTTCAAGTGGCATGGATGATGGTGCTGCTGGTACCTAGGTGTCATTGACTAAACAAACTTAAATGACAAAACACACCAGCAAGAGCGAGAGAATGGATTTGCATTTTAATTACGATTAGACGAACATTCCCATTAATTCGATGAATAGCGCGCTCTTTTTTTTATATTCATTTTTGTTTTCTCTGAAAACGCACAAGCATTCATAAGAAGTTGAGTGTGAAAATTGTTCGGTGGAAGAGACACCTTGAGTACTACTATCAAGTATGAATAAGGGACACAGAGCTTTCAGTGTTTCATCATATTCATTATTATAATATGCAAGAATACAAAGATTTAACACATCTTTTTTTCTTCATTGACGGCCAAATGCCGAAAAATGCTTCCATCAGACGGTAATAAAGTTTATAAAAAAAATAACGACGAGAGAACAGACGTTTTCTGTGTGTGTATTTGAGTTTTTTCGTCTTTTCATTCAATTCGTTCACAAGACATATGTATTAATCAAGCCTGAAACAATGTTCAGAAATTATCTCTTCTCTTCGTTACAGCGGCTGCTGCTGTTGCTGCAGTGGCGGCTGTGTGGTGATCTTTTATTGTTATTACGTTTAGTCTTTGTTTTTGTTTTTTTGTGTGTTATTTTCACTCTTTTTCTCTCTCTCGCATGTAAACACCGACACACGTGCCAAATGTACATCGGAAGCTGTTATGAGAAGGCAGCTGCAAAGTTCGTGGAGAGAAGAGAGGAGAAGAAAAAAAACGAAAACGCAGCACCGTGAAGAGAATACATCGCGATCGAACATCACAACAAAAAAAAGATAAAAAAAAAATTAAATAAAAATTGAATGGTAACGAGAAGAATTTCAAGCTGACTGTTATTTCTTTTCCGAGGAGTGTTGCAGTTGATGCGCGGCTGTTATGCATACAAATTGATGAAAATGTGAACATCTTTCGAGGTTGTGTGTTTTTTTTTCTTTCTCTCTGTGTCTTCGTTGTTGCTTCTTGGTTTGTCTCCTCACTTTAATCGTTTTCCGAAATTATAACAATTCTCTCTCTGTCGAATTCTTTGTTCTGTTACTCGCGTGCGCATACAGCTTGTCTGCTTTGATCGGTCAATCGCACATCGTTAAAACCATGTAGAAATGGCACACATTGAATCAGCACGGCGTCCCATCAACGAAATCGATGAAAATTTGCATTTTCATTGAATCGGCACAAACGACGCGCGTTGACAATTTATAAAATCGCCAAAAACACACAACGAAAATTAATTATTAAAATATTGAACGGCGAATGTGCGATGTGTGTTGCATATGCCCTTAGACATTTGTGAATCAATGAAGCTATTAAGCGATTTTATAAATAAATAAATATATATATAAAAAAAACCAACCAATAAACATCCAATTTGTGTATTTGCCCCGTGTTTGAATTTACCTGGCCCCAGTTGCGGTTGCTTTTAGATAAAGTTTTACGAATTAATTTTAAATTATGCATAAAGTTGTGCGACAAAATTCGTGGCAGACACAAAGAGAAAATTAAAAGCAAACGGCGTAAATGGTTTTGTTATGTGTATGGGTGCATCACAAATTGGGAAAAATAAATATATATATATGCGCAAAACCGTTGTCAATTTAGCGTGAAATAGCCAGTCATAATGTCGGTTGGTGTGTGAACGAGTGTGTCGAATTGGCAATGCGATGAAAATTAGAATATTTCTTTATTGCTTTTTCCACATATAAAACATATATTGATTTAGCTCACTCATCATGGATTGGGGCAAAGTGAATGTATTGTGCTCACACGACGCAATATTATCATTGAATTTTCCTGAAACCAAAAATCGCCACAAAGCGATGCAAAGTATAACGAGAGGCGGGTGGAAAGACGTGGGAGTTTGAATTCCATGGAAAAAATTATTATCAGCGCAAAATTCTTTGCATGTGTATGTGTACTTGGAAAAACGGCAAAAGTTAATGTCTTTTATGTGCCGAAAACGAACGAAAAAAACAAATGAACAAAACGCGCCAGCATTGTGTTCCAAAATCAGAATATACCAGAGCTCGCTGATGGCGTCTCTGTGATGGATGAATCGAGTACGGATGGGTGGTGCTTTTTATCTTATATAACACGAGTACCGCACTGATGATGTGTGTACTTTTCATGTTTTATTGTATATAATAGAGCTGGAGAATCCCAAGAGCAAACAGAGCATTGAATAGTGAACGATTCAAATTGTGAGCTCGCATACATAATGTGATATTGAGAGAAAAACGGGTAGTGTGCGACGAGAAATATAAATGGAAACTCATGGACTCTCGCTCTCACAGAAAATCTATATTAATCTGCTGCGCCTCACCAATACCGAGCAACAACAGAACTACCACCGCCGCCACACTCCATATTTGCTATTTTATACGCAATTCACGGTTTCAAATATTATTTTGGTATAAAGGTTCTTTCGCACACTCTCTACTCGTGAATTTTTCGATTCTTTTTGCTCTGGCACGGTGCGCGCATTGCTGTCACAAATTGCGAGCGTTACCTCATTCAGTCCCGAGCTCATTTCAATGAAACGCGAACGCGAAAAACCAAGCGCCGAGCATCAATAACATCTTTGTGATGTGCCTATGTACATAATGTAAAAAAAGCACCGTACATAGCATACATCAAACTCACCTATACACATCGAGATCGCACCAAACAATTGGCTCTCTCCACATATATGAATTAAGGACATGCGCTATGCGCAAAAATTTCTATGTTTTTTTAGTTCATGGTACAAAAGCCAAATGATGAAACGATCGAAATGGCACACAAAATGTATATATGGTGAACGAATGAATGAAGAAAAAAAAAATCCAGTGATAGCCTTCTCCACATTTAACCAAACCGAGGATAAATAATTGCAAATGTGTACGCGCACTTCGTTCCTCTCGCCTATTTTTTTTTTTTTTTTGGTTTCAACAAATCTCTCGGAAACATTTTTTTTGTACAAAATCGTTTTTAGAAACATCGCAATAAAAGAAATTAATTTAACGCAAGAAAATTTTCGATTAATTTTTTCTAAAGTTATTAATTGAACGAAATTTTTATATTTTCCATAATTTTCAAAACAAAAAAAAAAGCTACACAAAAATTTTCAAATTAACTCACCGAAAATTAAATGTCGCAAAATATAGATTTCATCCAGCTAATTTTCCGATTCCATAAACATGTTCAGTACAGCTTCGAACACTTTATTTATTTATTTAATTATCTAGTGATTTTTACCAGTTAAAAATCACTGAACTTTTGAGGCTCTTTAATTGTTGTGAATTATTTTTTTTATCAATTTTTAAATTTTACAAATTATTTTCCGAAAATTATCACTTCGATCAGTGTAAGGCATCCAGTTAAGTTTTATTTAATTTTATATTTATAAAAAAAATTATTGCTAGTGTTTGTTTTTCACATTCAAGGCGATAAGATGTTAAAGACACTGTTTTGCACAACTTCAACTTTATATTAATGAATTATTTTTTAAAAAAAAATCATTGGATGTATATTATTATTTGTTCGTTGATAATAAAAGTGGTTTCAGATTGAATTTTCATTTAAAAGAAAATTACAGAAAAAAAAGAAAAAAATAATCGGAAAAAAACTGCACAAAAAAATTAATAGAATTTTTTTTTTAAATCCCCGTTAAATGATGAACATAAATTCTTAAAACGAAATAAAAACAATTTTTGTTTTCTGAAAATTGAACAAACAGCTTTTTCTATCATTCGATTTGCAAAAGTCTTATGAGTATCTATTGGATACAGTACACAGCAGAGAAGAAAAAATGAATTTTTTTTATATTGTTTGGAAAATGATAAAAAAGATGTGTTTCTCCTCGAAAGGTCTTCGGAGATGTGAGGTGTATAAGCAGAATAGTGAGGCTTCTATCTGACGTCGTTTCAAATGTGAGTAGTTTTCTTGGTGTCTTGTCGGACGGTCACATGTATGTGTGTAAATGTTAGTTGTGTGTGCGCGCTTGTGAGAGACAAATGCTCGTTTCGCAGCATATCGGCTGCGATTGCCGATGTGTTGTGTGTATCCGTCTGATTTTTGTGTCTTTCTTTTCTCACTCACTCTCTCATCGATTCGGGTGTGTGTGTGTGTGTGTTTGTTGCTTACTGCTGCTGCTGCCTGGCTACCTCTTCGGTCCCCCGGTGTATTTAGTGTGCTTTTGTTCTCTCTCTTTCTCTCTGTATCGGTCTGTGTGCTTGGATTTCTGTTTGCGTGTTTTTCTCTTTTTCGTTTATGTGGTGTATGCGTTTTGCTCTCTACTTTGCTCTGCTCCCGTGGCTTTAGCGATGTGTGTCTTTTGGCTCTCGCTATAATGCTCAATATTATTGTGTTTATTTGGCTTGCATTTGCGTTTATCGCCCATAGTACCGAAAAAATTCGAATGTTTTGTTAGTCGATACAGGTATACATATGAGGAATAAAAAGAGAGAGAGTGCGCGCGCGGATGTTCAAGACGCTTTGTTGATTTGTGCCGTTCCTTTTTCTCATTTTATACGATTGAATTTTTCGTCTTTTTCTTCCAATCGTTCGTTTCTCTCGTCCATTTGGGATCCGTGTATAAAACTACTACACATATTGCGCGTTTATATACATATTGATACATGTGGAAGAGGTTTCTTTATTTTTGCTTCAAATGAAAAACTCTCGTACGTTTGCATATGTGAATGTGCTCGCACTCGCTCATTCGTTTGCTTGGCCAGTGGAAGTTTTGGTCGACGGGTTCCACTTTTATAAGATGTGATGTAAACGTGATATGAATAAATCCTAGGAATAACAGCAATTGCACACAATTCAAATGACCATTCGTATGTGGATATATGCAGCATATACATGCTTGAATGTATGGATCTATCGTTTCGCTGGGCAGTTTTGTTCGCTCCCGTTTTTGTAATGCGACTTCATTTTGCATGAAAATTTGCAACATCAGCCAAAATGAAAACACCTTAACAAGTTGGCTGGACGATATCCCATTCCCAGGTGGAAAAGAAATTTCAACGGTAAAATAAAAGACACGACGGCGTCTGCTAACAGACCCATTAGTTCTAAGCACTAAACACAACAAACACATAATTGTCTGAACAAACCAATTCCGACTATAGATGCAATAGAAATTCAATTGTTTTACTTTGAGATTATATAGTGTCGTAATGATGGTTCGTATTTTAGGTTTCTTTGTGTGTGTCTACTTTGGTCTTTTGAATAAATAGGTTTTCTTCTCTCATTATCCACATTCATTTAATCTGTTTCAATGTCCACTGGCAAACATTTTCATCTTGTACGCAATATATATATATCGATTGATCTTTGAGTTACAACGGTTCTGTGCGGCTAAGTTTGAGGGTTGAATACAATTTTTACTTTTCCGTATCACCCGATTTGTTTTTAGCATAATCGTAAATTGAAATGCAATGTGCATTTTTATGAATATTTGTATCATTGCACGTGCATAGTGCATGCATGTGTGCGAGAAAACGCGCGCACGTTTTGAGAGAGTACAAATATTTACCTTTAATAATTGTTATTATTTAACTCAGTTTAATCTCTTATCTTATGCAACTAGCCAATTTGTGTATGATGTGCGCGCGCCCATCCAAAATCAACTTAACACGTAATCGCATTGTGCGAAAAATCAGAGGTTCTATCACATCAACCGTGTTTATTTTCACGTTTTTATCTATACTATGTAAGCTAAAACTGAATGAGAAAACCGTTTAGATTTTTTTTGATATTCCCAAAAAAAATGTATGAAGAAAACAAAAACTTGATGAATTGGCTGATTGTCTGCTGGGATCGTAATTTAAGCTTTGGGATTCGTAAATGAAAACCCGTATTTCGGTGCAACACAGTGAAATTGAAAACCATAATTTCGTCGCGCGCGTATTTGATAAGTATATACATTTCGCTGTGATTAATATCCGTTGATGATTTTTTTCCTGCCACTTGCATGATTATTTGAGCAATTTTTTTTACTGTGTGAAAAGCGAGTTACAGCAGAACGGATCCACGTGTGAAAGGAAAATTATGATAAAATTTCTCATTTTGAAAATTCTGCTGTATTGCAATCGAAAAGAAGAATACAAAAAAAAGCTCAATCAGGTGAGCACATTATACTCAAGCAAATTTTCGAAGTTTTGCGCAATTTGCTGTGCTTTTGCCCTCGACACACGTATGAAATTATGTTGTCACAGTGCTGAGTTATCGCTAAATTGTTCAAATAAAATATGGAAAAAAGGTCTATGCCGCAAATGGCTTCGACCAAATTTATGTGAATTGAATGTGTCATCCATCAGTCATCACATTTAATCATCTGCGAGATTAATTTTTGTTTCAGCAGTCGGTTTGTTTGTGTATGATTTTATGACTTATATATATCGAATACACACATATGCTTTCTCTCTCTCTCTTTATCATTTCCAATGACGAACCAATAATTCATCATTCTATCGCATCGAGTGAGAAATAAAAAAAAAGAGGTAAAAATAATAAATAAATTGCGGAGTAAATATATGGGGCGGTTGGTAAATAACCAATTTCAATTTCAGGTATAAATTCATATGAACGTATTTTCCACTAGATAAGAGGCGAGAAATGACTGAGTTGAGAGAAGAAAAAAAAGCGAGTTTTGTTGTATTTTTTTATCAAGCCTTTCTATCTTTCACAACACAGCGTGTTCTCTCTCCAGTTTGCGAGCGACAGAGGTAGTTCAATCGTGCCCAAGAAAAATCAATAAACATCAATGTCTTATCAGCAAAATGTGTACTTTTTCTGAGTGTTCATAGGTTTTTCTGTGTTGTTGTCACATTCATAGCGTTTTTTTTTTTCTTCTCTCTCTACTCTGCTCTAGCACTTTTTTTTTACTCTTTAATCACGTTTTATGAATTATGAATTTACAACGGTGCGCGCGTTATTGATGATAAAATATTTATTCTATTTTTTTTGTTGTTATTATTCGAAAAATGATCGAAAAAATACAATAACAAACACAGAAAAAAAATACTGGAAGCCAAGAATTAAGAGAGGCGATAAATGAGAGATTGTGATGAAACGATTTTTTTTATCTCTGTCTTTCTTCCATTGTTTACCTGTTTTGAATGATTCGGATCTCTTCTTCTGTACAACCGCCGTTGGGACTTTGCAGCCGCCTTTTGAATGATACACCACCGACACGTATCAGACGACTTGATCCTCATATCAATTCAAGAACAAATACATTAGGAGGGGCGCGCATCTTCATATTGTGATTGACACAAAGTAAATTTTATCAACGTGGTTCAATATACATGATAATAAAAAAAAAATCTATTTTTGACAGTTGAAGTAATTTTGCCGTTGGATTTTTATTTTTCTCTGAAGCAACATTTATCACTTAAGATTATTTGGCTCAGCTCAAGTGATCAACTGCGTACTTCAATCTGAAATACTTGACTCATGTACGAATCATCATTTTCAATTGGCCAAAAAATGTGCGCATCATATTCGTAATTTTGTATCAAAATTCAATTTTAAATGGAATGTCCAAACGGTTTTTGCTCTGGTTTTGCACCAATGCGATTTGAAAATCGTAATTTGTCTCACGGCTAATTTTGAATGCATTTGTTATAGTGTCGACTTATGTGCTGCTGCTATCAATTTTACCGTGTGTGTTTGACTGAAACGGCTAGCTCGCGTGCGCATTCTCATACCAGCTCTAGACTTTGGAATGTTGCTGTGAAATTCGAATCATGTTAATGTTCACGTTTACTAATAAACACACACTCATTTAGGTGTGATATGGCGGAAAGAAAATATAGATGATCCATAAAAATAATATCGCATCGGACACCGGTTAGCGTTTCTTGTTTCTACGTCTTAATATCTACATCGTATTCACTTGCTTATAATTTTGCATTTTGAAATCACTTCATTTTAATCGTGCGCACAACGACATCATCGGTGACAACAATAACAATGGGAAAATTCACAAAAAAAATGAATGTATGATAGATTTTGTTTACTTGTCTCTTTTAATTGTTTCTCTTTTTTTTTGCATTTAAACGTTGTCCAGTACATGACACATTCATGATTAAAACGACCGATTACGTATTTGATATAGTTTGAAACTTGCTCCAGAAAATTAATAACAACGAACGAGCTTCTCTTTCCAAATATTATTTTATTCCTATATCATGACGTTTTATTCTGTAAATATAGTTAAGTCATGATTACGAAAATGTTATTCAATTTGCGGATATGATTTCTTCAAATAGCGATGGGAAATGCTGCACTGATGTAAAGCATATTGAGTTTCAATTGCCAATAAAATTGATTTTCAACAGAAAAAAATGAGGATAATAACCGCGACGCCATGTAATCAAATCTCTCGCTTGACGCGATGTATTGGCTACTCATGGTAATTTGTTTATTTTATTCCATTCTTTTCTGTCACTCTCTTATGTGATAAATCTTGATGATTTTGAGAAGTTGGTTTATATTTATGCAAACGAGAGAAACAACAATTAAAGTGCGATGTGTTTCAATTCTGTTTTATTTTTTGT